TTCAAACTCTCTGCTTCTAGCTTCTCTCTACCCTTGAAAAATAGTCTTGTCTATCAAAAATGTTTATCATTTCTGCTTTTGATGTTGTTTATTTTTCTCCCCATGGCCATTTAATTAATAAGAAATGGCATCTCACTCATTCCATCTCAGGGTGTTAAACCACAGAATTATCTATCTAAGCCAATGCCTAACAGCTTTCCTACCGAGAACATGCTTCGCAGTGATTTTTAGCCATCAGATATGGTCATTACTTGCAGAAGATCCAGAGTTCATGATACAGTTATGTAATTGCATATAATTGCACTATTCCTCCTAATAGAATTTTTAATTAGCTGTAAGTAAACAGGTATATTTAAAATTGTGATAGTGATCTTCTCATGTTATCTTAATGTTTAGGCACTTTTAATTACAAAGGTAGATTTTATATGTGCGTGTGCAGAAACTGGGCCAATGCTCCTTATTCTGATGATTTTTATCAATTTATCTCTGAGATAAACAGTTAAATCTTTACATGTGCTAAAGCCTTCTATAAATAGTCTAGGGAGCTACTTAGTAGAGCATTTTACACGTTCCCTTTTCTTCCACATCATAAAATTTAGTGCATGAGTGAATTTTGAGAAAATATCTGAAGTAATAGGTCTGCAGGTGGTGGCAGCAGGAGAGCAGCGAGGTCTAAGACTGACATTTGGGTTGCGGTTGCTGTTGGCAACTACATTTCAAGGGCTATCAGCATCTGGGATAGCACAGCTTTCACTACTGTCCCCTTCAATAGCTATTTCCAATGCTGTTGGGACCTTTCTGGGGTCACGGTATTTCTGCTGGCTCTAAACTTCAGAGCATGCTATCAGAGAGAAGAATGATTTGTAAACAAGAAGCTTGTTACTGGAACGATGTGAATTTTGTAATGAAACCTAGAATGATCTCTCAAGACAGTTACCGAGGAAAGCAGATGCGTTTTGGATTCTAACTTGGTACTGAAGCACTGGTAATGTGTCTGACTATCTTCCAATCAAATACAGCAAGAGAACGAATGAACAAAGTTGGAGCACATGTAAATCCGGCTTGAATTTGCCCTGACATTTGTTGTGAGAGGAACTGTATGGAACCTGGGAACCGTTTTTGCTTTTTCTCTAGACAAGGGAGCATATTCTCTCTATGAGGCGGCTTCTACAGTTACTGCAGCAATCTACCACTCCCATTTAATACCTGTCTTCCCACATGCATTGGCTCTTACTTCTTATAAAACGCTCTGTGACTAAGACACTAACACTTGTGATACGTGGTTCAGAGTTTAGAATTCTCTAAACTAGTAATTAGAATAAGGAAAGGAATATGTCATTCATTTTAAATAGTGTGTCTTTTTGTAAGTAATGAAAGAAAACTATCAGCCAGTAGGTGTGTTGAGCCTCTAAGAGATTGTATCTTCTCAGTCTTTTGTTTCATTATTACTGAGATTCCTCTTATCACAAGCACTATTCATCATTTTAAAAAGATTTGCAGCATAAGAAACCCAAGGGCTTCATATTTGTGTATGGACTCTGAATATTAGTGACAGCGATGAAAGGGAATCACGCACAAACATTTTCCTTAGGGTGACTACACAGAGACTCTTGGGAGGATTTGCTGATACCCAAGCATCTGAGGGTTTCGTTATTTTACAGTTCTAAAAGAAATAAATCAACACTCTTCAAAACCTTAAATACAAATATAAAATTTGAAAAAAATCTGTAAAGTGCTGTAATTCCCACATACTTGAAAGTTGATTTTCACAAGTGGCTTTTCATTTTCCCAACTCTAAAACAATTGATGTTTCTTATACAAGTATTTGGGAGGATTTTGAGAAGAACTTCAAGAATTAGGGCCATAACCTGAATCATAAGCGCTTTATCTGACTCGTGTAGAGCTCTGTTGTAAAATTTTCCTGCCTTTTGTTTTTCATGCATTTAAAATATTATATTCCATTTAAAGATTATTTTCACCAATAATAATAAGAGTAGTCATGACATAGGTGATGACAATATTTCATATTAGAGCTTAGGGATGCTGTGCGCTGTGTCGTGTGTGGGGAGAAGAAAGCATATTGGACAGAACCTTTGAAGCATGTTGGTATAGCCCTGGGGACAGCAGCAGCTTGAATGTACCAGATAAACAACAAATGGCAGAGAATTATAATGGTTGTGCTATCATGATCCCATTGGGATCTAAAAAAACTGATACTAGCTTTATATTTTTAATTTCCTTGCTCTTATTTTTGTCAAGCCATGATATATAATAACTATGGTTTAAAACATTCTTATCAACAAGTGTGGAAACAACTGCAGTTAACTCAGTTTCTGGGTTAAAGCCCAAAGCATTTCATCTCCCTGAAGACTTTTCCTTCTAAAGCATCATTAACTCCTTTTTAAAAATTTATTGTCCTTGTTTAAACCTGTAAACAGTGGTCATATTCAGTAAATTCTAAATTACCTACACATCCCACCAAATATCTACTTAAATTTTGTTTCAGGTAATGGCAATGTTGAGCTTGTGACTTTAGGGTTACTCTACCATTCTTGGGTGAGTGTTAAGTGGAGGGACGGCTGCTTGTCCCCATTGAAATCTTCAGTATCAAGCACCGTGCATGACTTAGTGTTGGTAGCAACAAATATGTAACATACATCAGCTGTGTAACTCTGTGCTTCACTAGAATATGTGTAATGTTTAAGGAATATTTTGCAGACAAATGACAGTCTGTGTCTTGGTTCTTTTTGCATCACGGTGACCAAAACATTTGATCGAAACAACCTTGGGAAGGACTCATGGTTTCCTTGTGGAGGCTTAAGTAGAGCATCATGGTTGTGAAAGCCTATGATGGAGGCTTGGGCAAAGCATCTTTATTTCACCTCTTGACAGACTGAAGCCAAGAAAGAAAGGTTGAGGGAAGCTTCTATATAAGATAAAGCTCTCAGGATTTTCCCTCCAATGACTCATTCTCCTCTCCCCTAACCTGGCCTTTCCTCTCACCTTTTACCACCTGTCAATAAAGCCATCACATTGTGAGCCCATTTAGGGTTCAATGCTCACTAGGTTTGAGTCTTTAGGATCCAACTATCTGAAAATAGACACAACCATATGTATACTTCCTTGGTCTAGTAGGTATTTCTTGTCCATCCATATTGACACTCAAAATTAACTGTCACAATATATTTTGATTAGGAGCATGCAACCCTGAAAAAGTCTTGGTATATGAATTACAGGAATATCTTTCTGATTAAGCTGGAGCCATTGGCTTACTTGGATATCTGACCATAAGCACACAAGAGCAGTGAGGTTTTGTTATGATATTCTACCTGTCAAACACTTTTTCAATAGGAGGATTTCCTGTAGTTAGAATGAGGTACCTTTTGGATCCTTGCATTTTTCATGGTTATTTTATGTGTACATTGACCTTATTTAAGCATCTCATATTTCTTTACATTTAATGGATGTTTGTATTTGACTATACTTTTTATGACAAATATAATTTTTTAGGTTTTATTATGTGCACATGAGCACTTAGAGGTAGTTGTGTCTTATACAGTGTGATTTTGGTTTTAACTCATATTTCCTATATCCATGTGACTTCTCTGACCCCTTCAAAAGAAGATTTATATTTACCTCTATTATTAATAATTTTAAATTCCATTTTTAACTTTTTCATCCCACATAGTTGGTGCCACATCTAGCCTTCATGCCATGTACGTTGAACTCTTAGTTTCAATTTGACACCACCAAACCACCATGACAAATTTATCCTGATTCCCATATTATTATGTTGTTAAGTTTCTTTATTTCCCTCTTTATACCCTTAAAGGTGTCAGTACTGGAGGTATCCCAAACTCATAAGGGAGTCTTTTCTCCAATTTTTACCCACTTAAGAAAATTCAATTGCATTTATTTATTTGCTTATCTATCTACTGTGTGAACACATGCATGCAGCAGCGTACATACAAGCGGAAGTCAGAGGACCACTTTCAAATGTTAGGTCTCTTCTTGCAGAAAGTGGGACCTGAGGTCATCAGGCTTGGTGGCAGCACCTACAATGCCATCTTCCCAGAGCCTTTACTTTCATTGGTTCTAAATTTATCTTCTATCTGTGTGCATCTGGACACTTAACACCAGCATGAAAATTGTCAGGAAATCTCATGTAGAAAAGGGGGGTGTTACTAACTGACTTGAAATCCATTTTCTCAATGATTTTGGTCCCTGGAGAATTTCTCTTTTTTGTTTTGCAAAAGTGTATGCCAAACAAACAAACAAACAAGCAAACAAACAAACAAAAAAACCCAGAAAGGGTCAGTTATTTGTGCTCAGGAAACATTGGTGGAATAGCTCCAATCAAGGAGCTTGAGAGGAACAATCATCTCAGAAGCACTGGCTGTGTGAGACCATCCTGAGTCCCACCAGGGAAAACATGACCAACCTTTGAACTAATAAAAATGAGACACAAGGCGCCAGTCTCTGCTGTTTATCTCGATGTCCCAATGACTGGCATTTTCACAGTGACTGAAATTCTTTCAGCCTCCAGAGGTTCTTATCTGTGACAGAAAAATCACCCCAAACTTGCTGACCTTCATAGAGACTCCCAGTTCTCCTTATGGCGTGTGTGTGTGTGTGTGTGTGTGTGTGTGTGTGTGTGTGTGTGTGTCACACATACCGGTGCATCACCCAAGAAATGCTACAATTTTTTCTTTTATCAGGCTCAAATGATTTAAATAAGTGGTTGGTCTAGTTTCTCCTCCCCTCCCCTTCCCAGTTTTGTGCTTTCCTGCTTTCAGCTCACCACCCCCAGTTCTTTGTTCTCCTTCGTCCTTTTCCTCCCCTCTCCTCCTTTGTCCTCCCTTCTCTTCCTCCCTTTCCTCCTCTCCTATACCCTCTTCTTCGTTGCCCTCCCTCTATCTTCCTTGCTGTCCCCTCCTTCCTGTTTTTACTTTCCAGTGCCATGATCTCTCAGAACCTGTGCATTCTGTGTCCCTCCACAGGTGGCTTCTCTGGGCGTCACTACTTTCACCTTATGTGCACTGTGCATAGATCGCTTCCGGGCTGCCACCAACGTCCAGATGTACTATGAAATGATCGAAAATTGTTCTTCCACCACTGCCAAACTTGCAGTTATCTGGGTTGGCGCTTTGCTGTTGGCACTTCCGGAAATTGTCCTCCGCCAGTTGAGCAAGGAGGATTTGGGCTTTAGTGGCCAGGCTCCTGCAGAACGGTGTGTCATAAAGATCTCTCCTGATTTACCGGACACCATCTATGTTTTGGCCCTTACTTATGACGGTGCACGGCTCTGGTGGTATTTTGGCTGCTACTTTTGTCTGCCTACACTTTTCACCATCACCTGCTCGCTAGTGACTGCACGAAAGATCCGCAAAGCAGAGAAGGCCAGTACCCGTGGGAACAAGCGGCAGATCCATCTGGAGAGCCAGATGAACTGCACGGTGGTGGCCCTGACCATTTTATATGGGTTTTGCATCATCCCTGAGAATATCTGCAACATCGTCACTGCCTACATGGCCACGGGCGTCTCACAACAGACGATGGACCTCCTCAACATCATCAGCCAGTTCCTCTTGTTCTTCAAGTCCTGCGTCACCCCCGTGCTCCTCTTCTGCCTCTGCAGACCCTTCAGCCGGGCCTTCATGGAGTGCTGCTGCTGCTGCTGTGAGGAGTGCATCCAGAAGTCTTCCACTGTGACCAGCGATGACAACGACAATGAGTACACCACGGAGCTGGAGCTGTCGCCCTTCAGCACGATCCGCAGGGAGATGTCCACTTTTGCTTCTGTGGGGACCCACTGCTGAAGTACCCGGCTCGCTTAGCTCAGATTTCTCCGATTTTCATATCCTGTGAAAATTTTTACTTCATATTTTTCCTTGCAGAGGAACGAGGCAAACATTTTGGAAAGCAAGTAGAGGAAGGCATATTAACTGCTCTAGAACTGATTTTGCAAATTAATATTTGTGCTCTGGGAAAAAAATGTTTCTATTTAGTAATTTAGTATTTGTAATAAGAAGGTGGCCAACCATCTCAGATCATTTTTCCTGCTATGGTGCTAATATTTTATTTAAAAGTTACTGCACCTTAACAATATTAATTGTTGGATTTCTTTTTTTCTTTTAAGAACATAATCATTGTATACTGAAGGTGGGCCTGCGATTTTGCTAGTTATTTTGTGTTTAAGTTGTGATTGAAAGTACATTGTATCTAAAATGATTTGTACTTCCAGCCATTCAAAGTAGCCCCAAATAAACAACCCATCCTTCTTTAACACGACTGTCAATCTACTTTTAACTAAGACTCAATAAATCTTTTAATTGCCTTAAACATACAATTACTGGTCCTATGCACAACTTGAAACTGGCCTTATCTTTTTTCTTTATATCTTCCTTTAAGGCAGGTAATCACTATGTTGTAAAGAAGTTTTCCAAATAATACTGTTTATATACATAACTCATAACATTATATTGTAGATTAAAATTAAGCCGTAATTTTTAATATTCACAGTATAAAATCACTTCTGAATATTTTTAAAAATATAAAAGACAGAAGAGTAGGTATAGAGTTCTTTTACTTCCTATAGGTCTATTTTAAATCCACCTTTCAACTGGCACATGGAGGGACAGGTTTTCCCATGGGGGATTATGGGCAGATCAAGACTGGGAAACAATGTGCTTGTCATCTGATTTCCACTGAAAATAGGCTCTGAAGTTCCGTGGCTCATATGTGAAGTGCTCTGAATTCTAATAGTCCTTCTTGGCTTCTATTTTACTTTTTAAATTTTTGAGAATTTCATAGGAGTACTCTGTTTAAACCATTTCCACCCATTCCTTCCCCTTCCACTCCTCCCATTTGACTCCCTCAAATTCATATTTACAAAAAAAATAACCTAATTAAACCTCTGACTTTAGTTTTTATGTGGAATGAAAGTACAGATATGTATGTATGTATGTATGTATGTATATGTATGTATCTATGTATGTATGTATATCTTGATTAGAGCATGAAAATATTCAAATACGACCCTTAAATGGATGTTCAATAAATACCCCCCCCAAACCTCACCCCACCCATTCAGTTTATTGAGTCGCATGTGTTTGGCGCATGGGTCACATGTCCAGTTGTGATGGCAGATTCTGACTGGGAGACAAAATCATTTTTTTTAAAGCTCCAAGAAAAAGTGGGTGATTGAATGCCAGTGCCTTCAGCAAAACAACAGGATTAGGAGCCCAATTATCTGTCTGGAAAGTGTTCTTTCCATCAGTCTCTCAGCTTTTCAGCTTGAACTGAACCAGTGCCCATCTGCCAGAAACTAGCTTGACGTTATGACAGTCACAGAAATTCAGTGGTAGAAAACTTAAGAGATTTGACCCAAGTCATTTATGTCCCGGATGAAGTCCAGATCAACAAAAACATCTTTCTCTTAACTTCTCCTTTCCCCAGTTCAGTTCTGGAGATGTGATTAATCCCCACACTGGCCAGGGATTTAAGGCATGGTTAAAACACAGGATAATTGTTTTCTGACAGTTGTGCAAGGTCTTTGGGGAATTCCTGAAGGAGACATCTGAGGACATCCAGGTTTGGGTTGAAGAGCAAGTTGACAACTCTGAGTCCACAATGCCTGTCTCAACACCACAGGTGACTTCAGAACGGAGAAACTCATTCTATAAAACCTTCTATGCTTCTACTTTCAGTACTTGCGAGTAGAACTCATTCTCAGACTGGTCAAAAAATCAAGGAGAGAAGAATATGTAGAAAGAGCCAAGAGAAAGCATGAATGAGTACAATAACTTAGAGCTAATGGGTGGTGGACAGAATGCGTAAAATTTGATAACCATACTCAGGGAAGAGGGAAGTCAGACTTAAATAAAACAATGAAGCTTTTATGTGATAACTGATGGCCAGCCCACACAAGGAGGTGATGGTGGAAGATTTGGTGAGTAGAAAGCCCAAGAGGAGAGAAGTTATTTTAGAAATACTAGAACAAGAAATCACTAGGTGCGATTGAATCTTTTAGCTTAACTGGCTTTGATATGGATTTGGTTTAAAGGTGTCTCTCAAAGCTAAATGGACTAGAAGCTGGTCTTCATGTGGCAACAGAAGATGGTAGAGCAATCAGGAGATAAGGCCCAGTGGTAAGTGAACAGGCTATAAAGGTGATACTATCATGACTAATGACTTTCATATAATTTCTGATTCCCACAAACCCGGCTTAGCAATGAAAAGTGTGAATGTATTCTATAAAGAAAACCCACATGACATGTTTGGTTTCATCTGTTCAGAGATTTCTCCCCCTCTTTTTCTTTCTGCCATGTCATGTCATTAGAGACCAGACAGATAGACAAATGAGCCTGATATTGGACTTCTACCTTCCAAAACTGTAATCTGAATAAACCTCTGTATAAGTATTCATCCTCTAGCATTGTATTGAAACAACGACAAAGCTATACAGAAGATTTGTGAGAAATCATGATGAATATTCACTGAAGTCGTCTAATAAGAATGCTGTTGTTATGGATAAATGTCAGAACTCTACAACAGGAAGATATTTGTAAACAAGTTAAGTATAGAAGCAGTGATGGTTTGAATATGAAAAAATTACTAGACAGTCACAACATGTTATTGAACTATAATGTAGGCAGTGAAACTAAAATTTACTTTTTCTTCTGTGCTTGCTTTGTGATGATCAGTTGTTGATACACAGACCTTTTGTTATATCCTACCCTTGCCACTTTAGTATTAAAACTAAGCTGTCCTAAATAAAATTTGATTTATATGCTTTCTCATAGACACATTTTTCAACTGAAAGAAATTTCTGGAGCCTACATTTTGTTGTTAACTATTTTTGTTATAGTTTCTCTAATCTAAATTTCATCCAGTGGTTTACTCTACTCATTAAGAGAAAAAGAAACTTCACTCAAAATTTAGTTTAAGAAAATCATCAGCTCTAGGGATGGTGCTGGGTTATTTAAGCAGGGAATTTTTGTGGTATGAGAATAGTTAATATAAATACTATCAAAATATATCTCTATTTACAGCTCGATATTACAATAAAATAATGTAAGGCTTTTTGATGATTTACAATTCTAAAGTCTTACAATTCATGACTTTAATTCCCAATACTTTGGCCATTTATATCGCTCAGTTCTTTATACAAGTTTAGGTGATGGAAATCATTTGATTTCCTTTAACCTTTACATTTTTGCATTATTAAAACTGCGTGTGATAAGTGCAATGTAGATTGTATAAAAATGATGGAATGACCGGGGAAGATGAAAGTGATGTTCTTCTTTCTGAGGGTCAGAAGCCAGATGGCAAAAAAGACATCCATTTTTTCCACTTCTTCAAAACAAGTTATTTGCTAAAATTGACTTGATTTGTGTTATTCTAACAAAATTACGATGCTGCTTTAAAAATATATCCCAAGCAATTATTTTTGCCATTACTTGCCCATTTTCATAAAAGTAGAACAAGGATAAGATGTCCAGGTCTCTACAAATTATGGTGGAGTTAGCTTTAGCCTATCGTAGAAGGGTATGAATGGTATTAAGTGAAGATCACCTAGTAACCTCTATGTCATCACACTTAGTCCGTTCATTAAACAGGCGTCAGCGAATATTGTTATACGTTACACAGCGTGTTAGAAGGAACATAAATTAATAAATTGGCAAACCGTGTATTTGGCTGAAAAGTACCACAGAGGAAAGGAGAATAGATCTGAGTTGATTATGAACATGCTGTTTGCAAAGGTGACACTGCAGTTGCATCCTAAAGCAGAAGGAACTGCCCTACAACAACTCTGAGGCAGGACCCTACTAAATAGATTTTAGGGATGCAAAGTGTCCAGTGTCGTTCGAGACGATCAAGGTGTGGGAAGAAAACAACAGAGCCAAAGAGACTTCCTGAGCTATTTTAAGGACTTTCCCTTTCATTCAAAATGAGAGATCTTTGTACATAATGACCTAATTTTTCCACAAATAGTGTATTTTATTTAATTTTAATATTAAGATGTAGTTTTTGTAGCATAAATTCCTGTCATTTAGCATGTATCTCTAAGCATGTGTAGTTACATAACCACTATCACCAATACACAATGACTAGCATTCCTGAAATTCCCTGTTTCTCTTATAGCGAATCTTATTCTACCTCAGTCAATTAGTTTCTATTTTTAAATTTTTGCTCTTTCACAAAGGCCATATAGATAGTATTAGGCAGTATGTGGCTTCAGTCCAATTTTTACCTTGCACAATGTGTTGTATACTGATTCATATTATTGATGTCAGTGGTATAGCTTTCTGTTGTTGAGAACTACTGTATTTTATAGATATACCACAATGTGTTTCTATATTGTATTTATACTTTAGTTATGTATTAATCAGTTTTCTACTCCTGCAGCAAAAAACACTGAACACAATCAATTTAAAAAGAGGAAATGTTTATTTCAGCTTCCTGTCTTGGAGGTTTTAGTTCATGGTTGACCCTGTTCCTCTTACCAATAGCACAGACTGTTATAGATCCATTGGGAACTTTCTAGACCTGAACCATGAGAAGAAGCCTTTGTGCCATTTCAAATTTTGATTATAAAATAATCAAATATTCATGGGTAAATTTTTTTATGTGAAAATGAGTTTTTCATATTCGGTCAATAACTAGAACTAAGCATTTGGAATGATATAGTACGTATGTATTTTAACTTCATAAAATGGTGGCTGCTAATGGTACAAGGCACTGTTATGTGGAGATCCCATGAGCACTGTGTGAGAGCTCTGCTTTCTCCACGTAGTCGATAGCATTCAGCATGGATGATTCTAAGTTTTGCTAGTCTAGTATGTGTATGTATGTAGTTGTATGTATGTTTCTGTATGTAGTTTTGCTAGTCTAGTATTTGTATGGTCTCTAATCTTGGTGTTTGTAGCTTTTTTAGTCGATTCTACTTTTGAAAAAAATTTAGTAACATGAAAGTTGAAAGACTAGACCAATAAATGCATGTTTAGTGCTGTTTAACTAGAACAACACTTCCATTTACCCAGTTTTAAAACGTGTTCTACTTTTTTCTCCATTGGAAAAAAACACAGCAGACATTATCGATTCCTTCCTTATAGGTAAGTCAGCATGTTGTCCACTAGGAACAAGATTTCTTTTTGATTTAAGATCATTATCAGAATGAGGAAATTTGCCATTATAGCAGCACTATCTACAATACACTGGAACCGTAATATACTAATATAATATCTCCTACCATAATCTACTAATATGCAAATATACAGTAAATTTCTTTGCGTGAGCATCCTGAGTGGATGAGCTCTCCCCTCATCTCATTATTCTATGTCTTCATTTGTAATCTGAGATCACTACACTTTCAACTGAGGGCTTCCCTCAAAAGCAAGTTCCAAGAAAATCGTCTGACTGGATTTTATTTTTTTATTTAAATGCTTTCACTAAGATTTTTTCCTACTACTCAATCTATTAATTTACATTCTAAACATTCTAGACACACACCCATCAACATTCAGAAAAATAATGCTTTGTCTACTATCTGTATCTTTTAGTCCATAATAATCATAGATGGTATAACAAGGAACTGGTTGGTTTCAAACAGGAAAAAAACCCTGTTGTCTGACAGTTCTTGAAAGTAGAAGTCCAAAAGACAGGTGCTGGCAGGGCTATCCCTGGTAACAATTCTTTAGAAGGCCTCCTTTCATCTGTTCCAGCTTGTGGTAGAGCCCCAAACCTTGGCCTATGACACCTAAACTGCAATCGCTGCCCTCAACTTTCCAAGGTCACTATCTCACTGTGTATCTTTTCTTCTTATGAAGAAGCCAGGATGATTTGGATCAAGCACATATCAATCCAGTACGATTTTATTTAACTGGTTGTATCTGTAACACTTGTTTTAGTCAAAATCACACCCTTATGCTCTGGGGTTCTCAGTGATAGTATACCTTTTTGAGAGGTGGAATTCAGTTTTCAAAATAGAAGACTGAGTCATATGCACTGGGAGTGAAATGACCACATCTCTAGAAACTTGGAGTTTCTGGCTCAGATTGAATTGAACTGCTGATTTTTCTTTTCCCTTGTGATGTAGGAGGTGATGTATACTGTGAACATGTTTTACTGCATTGGTTAATGAAGAAGCTGTTTTCAGCCAATTGCTTAACACAGTAAAGCAAGCCTGGAAAAAATATATAGAGAGAGTAGGCAGAGTCAATGAGAAGCCATATAACTGCTGTTAGAGACAGACACCTCTGCCAGAGCCCACTGAAACTTTGACGGTAAGCCATAACAGTGATGCACAGATTAATGGAGATGGGTTAGTTTAGGATATAAGATCTAGCTAGCAATATGCTTAAGCTATGGGCCAAACAGCATTACAAATAATATAGTTTCTGTGTAGTTATTTCAAGTCTGGGCAGCCGGGAACAAACAAGTAGCCTCTGAAAACAAATTGGTACCAACAACAGATTGACATGACAATGTGTAATGGCTAAATACATATAAAACCTGAGAGAGCTTGGAAAGAAGTTCTAGACACAAAAAACCCCCAATGTTTAACCACTTTTTTTTTCCTGGATGGATTCTGTTTGCTGGTGGCATGCCACAGCTCCTTTAAGAGAGATCTTCCTGATTCAGTGGTAGGAAAAAAAAAAGGGTGGTTTCAAAATGGCAGCTTCCTGGTCTTTGCTGCTAGCATGCACTGTGGCTTTTTCAGGAGACTGAGCACTTCAATGGGGTTTGTGAGCAGCGTGCTGCAAGTTACTTGGTGGTAGCATGGACCAACTGGTTACCAGAGTTGAGGGTGTGAGGATGACTCCCACCTGGCAGTCTCAGAGGCAGTAAATGGACCTCTGCCAAGCTGAACTGGGTGGAGCCAAAAGGCAAAGCAGCCTTAATCCTAGCCCTGCCCACTTAGCACTTTAAGAAGCAGTCTTGGTCAGAAAGGAATACAGACACACAATAAAGACAAATTCAGATGAAAAAGACATCTAAATGGGTCAAAGAGGGTTTAGAAAAATGTGTATAGCCTTGGGAGAGAAAAAAAAGCGTATAGAGCTATAAAAGAAAGTAAATCATTTAAAACAATAAAACAAAGTCTTTAAAGAAACAGAGTACAGACAGTCATAGATAAAAGGAATAAAGAAAATAAGCTATATAAAGATGAAATATACATAGAGTCTGGATGATGTATATTATTGTGCTTTCTTTGAATTTTTTGACTGTGAAAGAGCTAAGTACAGAGAGACATTTCATTGTAGGGGCTGCTAAGCTAAACCAACATATATAGTTTAAACATATCTTGAGTTCAAAATTTGTTGCTTTGGAAAAGGGGTTCTTCTTTTGTTTCCACAGAGGATGAGAACCTGTGGATTCCTTCCAAACTAATGTGGTTTGATGGACCAAAATCCTCCAAAAGAATAACCCCCAAAAATTACTTTGCTCAACAAAAAGCAGGAAGTAGTTTGGAGAGAACTATGTCTATGTTCTCAAATATTGTTTATAAATGTTTGTTTACATTTAAAAAGGATATGCTATAAATATGAGTAGTTTGGATTTATATAAATTTTGGTTTATTGATACAAATTTAAGGTCAGTTTTATTATAAGTAAATTTCAGCTCTTGATTAAAGTAGTGTTTGTACAGCTCATTTAAGAATCTAATGTATGATTAAGAAATATAGTTAAATAGATAGTAATCTATAATAGTCAAGCTTGTTGTCATGTTACTTATGTTTTCTAGATATACAGAGAATTATTTCAGTTAGACAGGTATTCTTCAAATCTTTCAGAGACC